GCCCGAAAAAACCTACAAGAACCTAGTGATTCCAGCCATGAAAGCCTTCGACAATACAATATCAAAAATCAAAGGCCTGTTGAAACAGGTATGTCTTACAAGCCCTGCGGAAGGCTGATAAGGCCCGCAAGGCACGGACTTCAGGTGGCAGAGCATTCCAGAGTGATGGTGCCACTGCTGTAAAGGCTCTGCGTCTGATTGCTGTTAGACGCAAGGTCTTGACACTGGGAATTTCCAGTAGATCTTGGTCCTCAGAACGGAGGGATCTCTGGGGTTGGTAGGGGGTGAGGCTGTCCCTCAGGTACATCGGCCCCAGACCATGCAAGGCCTTAAAGGTGAGTACCATCACTTTGAAAGTGATCCGGTGCTCAATTGGTAACCAATGCAGCTGTAGTAAGATTGGTGTTATGTGGCATCTCATCGGAATTCCCGCAAGAAGCCGAGCAGCTGCATTTTGTACCAACTTGAGCTTCCGGATCACCGACAGAGGAAGGCCAATGTAGAGGGTGTTACAGTAGTCCAGTCTTGAGATGACCGTAGCCTGGATCACTGTAGCTAGGTCATCCCTGGACAGGTAGGGGGCCAGCCGTCTAGCCTGCCGCAGATGAAAAAAGGCGGTTCTGCTAACGGTGGAGACCTGGGCCTCCATTGTCAGCAGAGGGTCCAAAAGGACTCCCAGACTCTTTACCAATGATGACGGGCTTATAAAACCCCCATGTCATGTATTCCTGGAGTATCTAAATTATGATAAAATGGACACTGGTTCATTCACAATCAGCACTGGGTTATTAACATAGATGTCCATTGCTGTAGCTATATTATCATTTGGAGATGATGAGTCTTGCAGTGGTTGCAGAGAAAGTGATGAATGATGGATGATGCAGGAATAGTGGAGCCCTGGCTTTATCTACCCCCAACTGCTAAGGAAGAGTGGAGTGAAAGAAACACAGATATCTATAACAATGACAAAATACAAGTTGCAAACTCTTATCCAAACAGAACTATGTTAACATAAACCGTGTAAAAACGCTGCATGTAAACCACACAAAGCGTACCTGTCAGAACGCATCTCCTTCTACGTCCCGCCTCGGAGTTTAAGATCCTCTGGGGAGGCCCTGCTCTCGGCCCCACCTCTATCACAAGTGAGATTGGTTGGGACAAGGAGCAGGGCCTCCTCGCCTGTGGAATTGCCTTCCCGGGGAAATTAGGTCATCGACATCCCTCCTCTCTTTTAGAAGGAAACTAAAAACATGGATATGGGATCATGCCTTTGGGTAATCTGGCAGACAGACAAAGGACAATGACGACTAGAATTGGATAGGATTATGACAATGCGGAATGAACTTACGGATTTTGAGCTTGGCAAACGTTGATCATTAGATTGGTTTTTATTAGCTATGATGTATAATTGGATTGTGTTATAATTGTTGCTGATATATATTTTATCTTATTATCTGTATTGCTGGCATCGAATTGTGCCTTTTATAAGCCGCCCTGAGTCCCCCCCTCAGGGGTTGAGAAGGGCTGGATAGAAATGCGCGAAATAAATACATAAATAAAGAAATTACAAGTCTGAGTGTTACTTGGTTATCTCGTAGTCCTTGAAAAAGTAAACTGTCTTCAAAATGCAGTCCAAATAAAGTCCAAATAGTTCAAATTGCTGTCCAATTCAAAATATTATCCAAATTATAATGCTTGGTGTCCAGTTCAAAATATTATCCAAATTATAATGCGACAAGGATCCCCAGGTTGAGGTTGCCTTGTTTCGGGGGACTTCCCCTTCTTCAGGATTTTGTCTTCTTTGTAAAAGTGGATGGTTCACCATACATCCCTAAATGGGTGATAACGAACAACATAATATATATGCCAAAAAGTCACCCAAACCAAAACATTCAGTGATAATGACATGCATTCCAGTGAGAAAGACTACACACACGTTATTACTCACGTTATTAATGAGACGACGCTGGCCCTACAGTTTGGTCTTCGATAGTGAGCAATGCAGTTACACAGAAGCAAGGATTTAAAGGCAAGGCTAGTTACAGACAGTCAGCTGTAATGTAAATTACAAGTAGATAAGGTAGATAACAGGGCTTATTAAAAAAGCTTCTGAGGTCCAGTCTATCGTTAAGGCCAGTAAGAACCACTGTGTTAAACATAAAAATCCAAAATGCTTCCCTTTGCAAAAGGTAATTCTTAGTTTTCCCCTCGTGACCGCCTGTGATTTGCACATATGGTATAATTCCTGCGCGCACGCAGGCAGCTTCAGAAATCTCGAGACTAAAAAAATGGTTAGCGTAGCCCCGCCCACCCTCCGTCAGCATAAATAGCCCAACGTGGGGCTAACGGTCAGTTCTTTAAATCCGCCGCTTTAGGCAGCAAGGGAATTGAGACTAAATTTCTCTAATTTAAATAGGCCAAGGATAATGGTACTACTTTCTTTAAAAAATGTGCATCGTGTCCTAATAAATTTCTGGACAACGACACACATATTAACTGTCTAACATAATTCTTAGTATCCATATGTGGCTTAGTATGGATTTTTTCTATGGTGCAAAACTTGACGCTGGTAGATGTATGTCCTTTCTCCAGAAAATGAGAATAAAGAGTACCATCATTATGTTTGTTTTTTGTGCGTGAGCGATGTTCCATAATTCTGACCTTGACAGATCTACTTTCATTCCAATATAAAGAAGGTCACATTGGCATAAAATACAATATATAGCATTTTCCGAAGAGCAGGTAGTAAAATCATTTAAGGGTATAGTAATCTTCATTGTCAAGGAAGAGTGAAACTCTTGTAAATCTAGCAAATTGCAGATTAATTTAGCATGGGTCTATATGAGCAAGAAAAAGTAGACTCACTTTCAATCACTGTTGGCTGTGCCCATGATCTTGGGCATCTTCCAGTGAGAGCTGCATGTTTTCTTACTTTACTCCTAGTGTTTTGCAGTTTGTACAGCATTGGCAGATATTCCATAGCTTGCTGAAAATCTCAGGGTGTCCTTGGACTTTGGGGCAGTGTAGACATCTGAATTTGTTCTGATTCAATCTGATCCACTGTAGAGATGGACACTGCATCATCTTTCTTTCCTTGCACTGATCAAAACGAATTGCTTGTCTCCATGTCATAGCTGCTTCCTGTCGTTGGACATGGAACTGTCCAACATCTGGTTCTTACAGTTGAATCTGTGATGTCAGAATGAAGTGCCCACATGACCAGCAAAGAGGAGAAGATTGATTTCCCCTCCTTCTTTATGGTTGCCCAGATGCCCTATTATGACATCATCAGTATGACAGGAAACAGCCATGCTCACATGGAGATCTGTTGTCAGCTAGAAGTAGCAGCAGTGATATGGGAGGCATGGTGATGGTCCAGCAGGGCTGATGTGGTTGCCAGCGTGGCACCGCAGCAAGTGTGGCCTGGTACATTAACTACCATCACAATTGCACCAGGGGTAATGTAGACTCACACTTAATTAGCTTTAAATACAGATAAGAAAAACAAAAGTACAAAGCATAAAGAAAATGTGGGAGCTCTATTTTGTACTCTTCAAGTGATTCATTCTTCTCTAGAAGAATGGTAAAAACACAGATTAGGACAAATCACACATCTTCTTGACACAGTTTTCATGCTCTGTGCCAAAGTAGAGTAGTTATTTGTCATTATTATTATTATTATTATTATTATATTTGTATTTATTTATACTCCACTTTAAGCATTGGTATCCAATTTGAAGTATACAAATATACAAACATTAAAACAGAATTAAACAGAAACAGTATTTAAAATGCAGTTAAAATCCATCAAACATATTCAAAGTTCATAGCATCCCCTGACTAGATCTTAAACATCTTCATCTTTAAATGCCTGTTTGAATAAAAAGGTTTTAGCCTTCCACTAGCTGTGCCCTGCCACGCGTTGTAGTGGCCTATAGTAAGAATTTCCGAAGTAGAGGTAGATATCTGGACTATTATGAAAGAAATGTACCTATCTATACCTTCCTCTCTTTTTCTTCCCCTTCCCCCTTCTCTCCTTCTCTACCTCTTTCTTTCATTCCTTCTTTCGCTCTTTGGTTTCATCCTTCCTTCTCTCTTTCCTTCCTTATCTCCCCCTTTCTCTACTTCTTCCTTTGTCTCCTTTCTACCCTCCCTGTTTCCTTCCTTCTTTCACTTTTTAATTTCCTTTTCTCCTTCCTTCTTTCTTTACCTCTTTCCTGCATTCCCCCCTTTTTTTCTTTCCTTTCATCTTTCTCTTCTTCCTTCCTTCAGTACCTCTTTCTTTCCTTCCTACTCTCCTTCCTTCCCTCTTTCCTTCCCTCCTTCCTTTTTTCCTCTCTCATTCTCTCTTTCCTTCCTTCCCCCTTTCCCTCCTTCATCCTTTCCTTTCTTCTCTCCTTCCTTCCTGTCTGTTCTCCCCCAATACCATGGTAGAGTCCCTTCTAACTCTATTCTATGAGTCTATTTAATATAGTAATATATAGTAGTAACATTATATTATATAGTTGTATATATAAAAATAATATCCTCAGTGCGAGGGGGAGGGGGCAGGGTGTGTGTGTTGTCTTCTTTCTTTTTTGAATTTAAAGGTGTTTTTGTGGGGTTTTTTTCAGTGATGGTCACTCCTTGGATTGTGAGTTTTGTTGCCAAATATGGAGTTATTTGGCCCCATAGTTTTTTTGCTTTTAAGGTACTCATTATGTACAGAGCATTTATATATATATAGATTGGAAGGACAGCAGGGAGGGGGCCATTCTGACTTCCCTGGGCAGGGAGTTCTAGTTCTATTTTATATGTTCTTTCACATTTCTATATTAGAAATAGCCTGTTGAATACAAAATGTCATTTCTGTTTTTTGTTTTGTCCTGAATGTAGTTATTTTTCTTAATTTTAAACTGTATATCTTGGTTGGCAAATGATTTTAACAGGTTGCCATCTTTGCATAGAGATATTATATGTCTAATTTTTCAGAAGTCAATGTGGAATATATTTGTTTTCAGGTAAACAAGCAGGACAAGAGTTTGATGAAGCCCCTTTATGAAAGATATCGAATGATCAAGCAGCTTCTATCAACACCATCTTTGATTACAACCATTGTAAGTCTAAAGGAGAGTATGCACTGCTTGAATTTTAGCCATTTTAGCCTAGTCTAAGGTCCTTTCACACATATAACATGTCTACCTGGGAGCCATCCCATAAATGTATTGAAAGAACTTCACATATGCAGGAAATGTACACTTCCTAAGAATGGAATAAAAGGAGATTTAGAAAGCTCTTGGTATAGTTACCATAATTGAAAATTCACCTTGCCTTCTGGTACTGACACATTTTTAGACTGGTTTTATAGTCTGAATTAACAGTATAGATAGATAACACATAAAGGCTGCGCTACACTTGGGTACCATATTTGTAACCGATTAACAACAGAAATGAAAGCAGTAATCTATGTTAAGACATTGAAGGAAACACCATCAACTGTAGCATATGCATGCATCTTTATGCAAAAGTCAATACACATGGGATAGCTTATGTAGTATGTGCACAATCTATATTTAATCTATGACACCAGTCTTAACAATGGCTGGAATTCTGTTGGGCGGCTGCAAATGCATAACTTACACTTATGCTCTTATTCATATTCACAATCCCTACGTAGTCCCTAAATTAGGAAATACACAGAAACACGGATTCAGCCAAAACTCCTGAAAGAAGAAGGGAAAATCAATATTAATGTATTGTTGAAGGCTTTTATGGCTGGAATCACTGGGTTGTTGTAGGTTTTTTCGGGCTATAAGGCCATGTTCTAGAGCAGCGGTTCTCAACCTGGGGATTGCGACCCCCAGGAGGGTCGCCTGGCCATTTTGGAGGGATTGTGAGGACGCCTCTGTTGGCCCCATCCCAAGGTTGTGGGCCAGGCAAGAGCTACTTCGCGCGAGGCCTGGCCTTGCGCAAAGCCCGCTCGCCTGCCTTGTGCTTTCACCATTTGGTGTGGGCACGAGGTGGGCAAGGGGTCCTTGGCACGAGGCCTGACTTCACGCAAACCCCCCTTGTCTGCCTCATGCTTTTGCCATTTGGTGAGGGCGCGAGGTGGGTGAGGGGATCTTCTGCGGCTTCTGTTTGGTAAGTTTGGCTCAATTCTATCATTGGTGAGGTTCAGAATGCTCTTTGATTACAAGTGAACTGTAAATCCCAGCAGCTATAGCTCCCAAATGTCAAGGTCTATTTTCACCAAACTACACCAGTGTTCACGTTTGGCCATATTGACCATTCATGCCAAGTTTGGTCCAGATGGATCATTGTTTGAGTCCACAGCGCTCTCTGGATGTAGGTGAATTACAACTCCAAAACTCAATGCCCATCAAATCCTTCCAGTATTTTCTATTAGTAATGAGAGTTCTGTATGCCAATTTTAGTTCAATTGCATCATTAGTGGAGTTCAGAATGCTCTTTGATTGTAGGTGAACTATAAATCCCATCAACTACAACTCCCAAATGACAAAATCTCCCCCCTCCCCCCAACCCCACCAGTATTCAAATTTGGGCCTATCCGGCATTTGTGCCAAATTTGGTTCAGTTAAGGAAAATACAACCTGCATATCAGATATTGACATTACAATTCATAACAGGAGCAAAATGAAGTAACAATGAAAATAATTTTATGGTTGGGGGTCACCACAACATGAGGAACTGTATTAAGGGATCGCTGCGTTAGGAAGGTTGAGAACCACTGTTCTAGAGGCATTCTCTCCTGACATTTCACCTGCATCTATGGCAAGCATCCTCAGAGGTTGTGAGGTGACCTCATAACCTCTGAGGATGCTTGTCATAGATGCAGGTGAAACGTCAGGAGAGAATGCCTCTAGAACATGGCCATATAGCCCAAAAAAACCCTACAACAACCCAACAAGTTACAATTTGTAATGAAGGAAATCTATTGAAGTCAATGGGTCTATGCTTGTTAATGTTTATGTTTAATACAAAAATCAGGGGGCACAATTAAACCCACATTTCTGTGTCTTGTGATCATGTATGGGTGCTGTTAATGGTGGAAAGAAACCAGAATACAAATCAGGAAGGAATAGGTTATGAGTTGTTTGCAATGACACTTACTGAAATCTGGTTTAAATCTTTGAATATTGGTCTGCAGCATGTGCCCTGAGAACAGACCAGGTTTGTTAGGTCCATATAACATTGATTGTTGTTGTTGTTTGAAAAAATCCAATTAAGCTATTTCTATTCATACACCTCTACCTTTGGAATTTCCCAATTATATTTGGGTAATGCAGACCTAACTGGTCATCTTTTCCAATAATGCATGCAGGGAGTCCATCCACTCACTTTCATTCCATGTTCCAAGCAGGAGGAGGAAGATTCTGATGAAGATCATTCCCAGGGTAGCTACAAATTATCCTCTGCTATGTCCCTCAATCTGCCTACTGATGAACACCTATGCCATTCAGACGATGAACGTGAGCCCTCCTTTGTTTCACCGCTGGATGAAAAGAAAGCCGTCAAGCAGCCTGTTATCTCAATGTCCAACTTACATGAGGCCACAATGTGAGTGCTAAACTTTGGTTTGTTGACATGTAAGAAAACAGTGTGTGCTATTTTGGTAAAGGTAAAGGTTTTCCCCAGACATTAAGTCCAGTCGTGTCCGACTCTGGGTTGTGGTGCTCATCTCCATTTCTAAGCCGAAAAGCCGGTATTGTCCATAGACACCTCCAAGGTCATGTGGCTGGCATGACTGCATGGAACACTGTTACCTTCCCACCAGAGTAGTATCTATTGATCTACTCAAATTTGCATGTTTTCGAACTGCTAGTTTGGCAGAAGCTGGGGCTGACAGCGGAAGCTCAAGCCGCTCCCCGGATTTGGACCTTTCGGTCAACAAGCTCAGCAGCTTAGCACTTTTAACCCACTGCGCCACTGGGGACTCCTATTTAGCATGTACTAAATAGCATGTGACTGCTAAATCTTGGTATTTATTTATTTATTTATTTATTTATTTATTTATTTGCAGCTTTTATATTCCGCCCTTCTCACCCCGCAGGGGACTCAGGGCGGATTACTGTGGCAAACATTAAATGTCAATTTTTGACATACTTACTTACTTACTTTACTTTATTTCTATACCGCTTTTCTCAGCCCTCAGGCGACTCAAAGCGGTGAACAACATCAGTACAAAATATCAATTAAAATAGGGCAATTAAAAACAATTATCCCATAAATCATTAACATCAGTATAACAATCATTAGCGCCTCAACAGTAAAATCAGAATCCAGTCTCGTCATCCATTATTCCGTATTCCTATGTTCAATTACACTGTTTAATCAAATGCTTGTTCGAACAGCCAGGTCTTCACTTTCCTCCGAAACGCCAGCAGGGAGGGGGCCGATCTGATATCTGCAGGCAGGGCGTTCCACAGCCGAGGGGCCACCACTGAGAAGGCCCTGTCTCTCGTCCCCACCAAGCGCGCCTGTGATGCAGGTGGGACCGAGAGCAGGGCCTCCCCAGATGATCTTAGTGTCCTAGTCGGTTCATAGGAGGAGATGTGTTCAGAGAGGTAAGTAGGGCCAGAACATACAAACATATACAGACATGCACAGAGGCTATTTAACTTTTTCTGGCCGATGTCGCTTTCATCGTCCATCTGCGACGCTGATGAAGCACTTCCGCATTCCCCGCATGCTTCCCCGCTGGAATGCTTTGCTGGAGTCTTCTTTATGGCCTCACAAATCAGTTAATTTAGCCTCCCCACACTTTAAGGTGGTACCTAATTTTCCTACTTGACAGATGCAACTGTCTTTCGGGTTGCAAAGGTCGACAACAGGCTACACACAATTGGTTGGAAACCCACTCCAACCCGGGCAGGCTTCGAACTCATGACCTTTTGGTTAGAGTGATCTTAATGCAGCTGACACTCAGCCAGCTGCGCCACAATCCCAGTTTTTTGAAAAATCATATACAACATGACCCTATATCTGCAGCACTGGTATTTGTGGACACATATATCCACATCCAACCTAATACACATTCTCTGGGTGTTTTATAGGGCCTCCAGAACAGCTCTATAGTATTCACAGGCATAAGATCTTCATTTCAATGGGACATGCGGCCCACTCATTGTTATGTTATGTTAATTTATTTTACTGTGCATGATTTTGCTTATCATTTTTGTACTCATATGTTGTATGTAGTTTACTGTGTTGTTATTGTGTTTTGGTTTTACTTTATTGCACCGGGATTGTGGCGCAGCTGGCTGAGTGTCAGCTGCATTAAGATCACTCTGACCAAAAGGTCATGAGTTCGAAGCCAGCCCGGGTTGGAGTGGGTTTCCAACCAATTGTGTGTAGCCTGTTGTCGACCTTTGCAACCCGAAAGACAGTTGCATCTGTCAAGTAGGAAAATTAGGTACCACCTTAAAGTGTGGGGAGGCTAAATTAACTAATTTATGAGGCCATAAAGAAGACTCCAGCAGAGCATTCCAGCGGGGAAGCATGCGGGGAATGCGGAAGTGCTTCATCAGCTTCGCAGATGGACGATGAAAGCGACAGCTCCCCTGGCTGCCAGAAAAAGTTAAATAGCCTCTGTGTATGTCTGTATATGTTTGTATGTCAAAATTGGCATTGAATGTTTGCCATATATGTGTACACTGTAATCCGCCCTGAGTCCCCTGCGGGGTGAGAAGGGCGGAATATAAAAGCTGTAAATAAATAAATAAATAATTTATTGCAATATGCTGTTGGGCTTGGCCTCACGTAAGCCGCCCCGAGTCCCCATTGAGGAGATGGTGGCGGTTATTAAATAAAGATTATTATTATTATTATTATTATTATTATTATTATTATTATTATTAGCTATTATCATGTGAAATCCAAGAATATATCCCCTATGGATAGGAGTTTTTACTGTATTTGGCACTCTCTAGAGGTATTTAAAAGACATCAGACTAGATACAAGTTTGTGAAGAACAGGAAATACACAGCAATTACTCTCCATGTTGTATCAATACCTTGACAAAACATCCTGGCTGGAGAGTTTGGGAAACTGTAGTAACTTTCCCAATTCTGTATTCACACATCCTTGAATTTTTAAGTGAGCCAGACACTTATAGCCAATACAAGTCAAGGTTCTTGTTGTAGTAATTTTCCTACTCGCCATACAACAGTAAAAATAGCAAAGCTTATTTCACTATATGAGTGTAAACTGCTGTGTGTACTGTTTTCTGCTCTGCAGGGTTGGAGAAGAATTAGTAAACTCTCTTCCTTTGCTTTTATGAAAGCATTCTGTCCAACCCTGCACTTTAGCAAGGGCCCCAAGCGATCATACTTGGTGAAGTTGCCTTCACATTCCTGGCCCCCAGATCTGCCATCTGTTCATCACTTTCATTAAATGTTTTTTCAGAAATAGTCTCTAGATACCTGTTCTAACTTTGCAGGCCTGTGCTGTTGGAACATCTACGGGAAACAAGAGCTGACAAGAAGAGGCTAAGAAAGGTTTTACGAGAATTTGAGGAACAATTCTTTAAACAAACAGGGAGGTAAGAAAATTGTATACTGTATATGTATGCATGTATTTCAGTGCTTTGGCTATTTTTCTGCTTGCCGTTAGTATCACAACCATCCCCAAAATAAATACTATTCTGGCATATAAGACAATTGGCCGTATAAGACGACCCCCAATTTTCCAGTTAAAATATAGAGTTTGGGATATAGTCGCCGTATAAGACTACCCCTCTTCCAACACACACCAAATAAAATTTTTTAAAGCATCAGATCTGAATTCAATATGGTAATTTTCCTATTGCTGTACCTCCTTCTCTGCCTCTCAGATCTCGCACATGCGCACCTGCACTGCTTCACTGCAGTCTTCAGGAGCGAGATCTGAGAGGCAGAGGAGGAGGTATGGTAATAGGATACAAGGGCGGGCCAGACAGGTAAAAGAGTTATGTTTTTCTGGGCCCAGAGCCACTCTATCGCTTTTTTTGCATACCCCAGGCGCCCCGGGCGCTTGCAGCTTGCTCCGCCCTTCACTTACACCTTCCCGGTGAGGTGCCCCTTCACCTCACCATCGGGACCACATTAAGTCCACAAATCCTGATGAATGGATTTTCTTCTACCGTCCTTGTACAGCATCGCCCTTAATGCTTTCATAGTCGCTGCATATGGCAGGGATGCGACCACTGCCATTTTCCAGTTCCCCCCACCATATGCAGCAACCACAGATTCTCCAATCCGGATTGGAGATGGTGAAGCTGGGAGACACCTGCTCGGACCCCTGGCCTTTGACCTGTGGGGTCCCGCAAGGCTCTATTCTATATCCCATGCTCTTTAACATCTACATGAAATCGCTGGGAGAGGTCATCCGGAGTTTTGGAGTTAGGTGCCATCTCTACGCAGATAACACACAACTCTACTACTCTTTTCCACCTAATTCCAAGGAAGCCCCTCGAGTGCTGGATGAGTGCTTGGCCGCTGTGGCTGTCTGGATGAGGAGGAACAAGCTGAAGATCAAGACAGAGGTCCTCCTGGTCGATCGAAAACCGGATTGGGGTATAGGGTGGCAACCTGTGCTGGATGGGGTTGCACTCCCCCTGAAGTCACAGGTCCGCAGTTTGGGAGTCCTCTTGGATTCATCACTTACGCTTGAGGCTCAGGCGTCGGTGGTAGCCGGGAGGGCTTTTGCACAATTGAGACTCGTGCGCCAACTGCGACCGTACCTCATAAAGGCTGATCTGGCCAGGGTGGTCCATGCTTTGGTCACCTCTAGATTGGACTACTGTAATGCGCTCTACGTGGGGCTGCCCTTGAAAATGGCTCGGAAATTTCAACTAGTCTAACGGGCAGCGGCCAGGATGTTAACTGGTGCTCCTTACAGAGAGAGGTCAACCCTCCTGTTCAAGGAGCTCCACTGGCTGCCGTTCATTTTCTGGTCCAAATTCAAGGTGCAGGTGCTCACCTACAAAGCCCTTAACGGTTTGGGACCTGCCTACCTGCGTGACTGCATCTCCGTCTATGAACCCGCACGCTCTCTTCGTTCATCTGGAGAGGCCCTGCTCACGATCCCACCTGCGTCGCAAGCGCGGCTGGTGGGGAGGAGGGACAGGGCCTTCTCTGTGGTAGCCCCCCGACTCTGGAACTCCCTCCCCAAAGACAAGCCCCTATGTTGGCAGTCTTTAGGAAGAGCTTGAAGACTTGGCTATTCCGGTGTGCCTTTCCAGAATAGGAAAATCTTAGCAAGAAAGTCCCAAAAGCACTTTATTAGAAATTAAGATTGTCCGCACATTGCACCTATCCAAAAATCCTTGTATATCACTCAGCACACTCAGCACTTTTTAATCTGTACCCATTACATTTGCGCGGCCTAGTTTTATTGTATCACGGTGTGTTGTTTTATTGTTTACGGTTATTGCTTTATGTTTTTTGATTTGCTTTTGTTTATATGTAATTGTTTTATTGCTGTTTTATTGCTGTTTTATTGTTGGCCTTGGTCTTTGTAAGCCGCATCGAGTCCTTCGGGAGATGCTAGCGGGGTACAAATAAAGTAAATAAATAATAATAATAATAATAATTGGAAGTTTCAGCACTCGCTGTATAAGACGACTCCTAGCGTATAATACCAGCCAGATAGCAATATCCTCCAACATGTGCCTCTTCTTTCTTTGAATCATGCACTTAGTTAATATCTGGTTCCACTATCCTATTTTGTTTTCTTATCTCTGTGGCTCTACAACTGAAGGAAGAATCAAAGAATAAACAGAATGAAAAATAATATATGTCCCATGAAAAAGATGTTTTAAAAGCCCTTCCACTTTTTCATGTAAATGCCCATGTTCGTTTTTGCAGGAGTCCCCAAAAGGAAGATCGTATCCCGATGACAGAAGAGTATTTGGAGTACAAGCACATCAAAGCCAAGCTCCGGCTGCTAGAGGTTCTTATTAGCAAGCATGATGTCTCAAAAACCATCTGAAACTCCAGTGGTCTGAGATAGTCAAACTTCCTGATGGTTGGAGATGATGAGAAAGAGAGAAAAGGAAAAAATTACACGTCTGGTTCTTTCTGCACAATGGGTTCGTCACCTTGAAATTCTGATGCACTTTATTAATGTTGCACTGCTGCAGATGAGCGCATGTGAGAGATGGGTGTGAGAATTCAGGAGGAAGGAGTGACTGGAGGACTAGTTCTTCTCTGTGAATCATGTCCTATTTCTGGACCTGGAATTCATTTTGACAGGTTTCCCTAATTAGCCAAAGGAAGGTAGCCGTAGGCACATGTAGCAGGCTGAGTTGGGCGGAGAGTGATCACGTGCTTCCCCTCAAAGCTCTGCTGGAATGTATTTTTAGGCAGATGATGTTACTTTGGCAACCATACTTAAAATATTGGGTGGGCAATTCAATTCTTAATATATATTTCCCTCTCCATTTGTATAGCCACACTACCCAAAGGGGAATATTGTGCACACTACTGTTGGATGCGAAATACTGTTGTCAATCATAACCAGAGTAGAGCCATTGAATCGGTTAGATTTACCTATATGTTGACTCACTGTTCAGCAGCTGATTCAACAAGCATACAGTACAACTCCCTTTATTCATAGATTCAATATCTAGAGCAAGGGTCCTCAAACTAAGGCCCAAGGGCCGGATACGGCCCCCAAGGTCATTTACCCGACCCTTGCTCAAGGTCAACCTAAGTCTGAAATGACTTGAAAGCACACAGCAACAACAATTCTATCTCATCAGCCAAAAGCATCCCATTGAAATACTATAATAATAATATTTATTTATTTGATCAGTCATATGACCATTTCAAAATAGAAATACTAATAAATTTATATTTCATAGAATCATAGAACTGGAAGAGACCTCATGGGCCATCCAGTCCAACCCCCTGCCAAGAAGCAGGAAAATGGCATTCAAAGCACCC